CGCCCGCTCCTCGCAGCCGCCCGCTCTGCGCCCGCGCGGCCGCGGGTCTCCGCGGTGAGCCCGCGCGCCCCTCGGGTGGGGGCGGTCAGCCCGGACCTCGCGGAGTGGTCACTGTGTTGGGGAATTCCTATTCCTGTTTTATTGTTTCTATCAGTCTCTGTTGCTGTTTCCTTTTCCCTTGGTCTTTTCCAGTTTAGGTTAGAAGGTAGGGATGGATGAGCTCCTGCTCTTTCCCTTCTTAGTCTCGGTGAGTTGGCATCTCGACCTTACCTTGAGCAGAGCCTGAGTGTCGGGCCTGGGGGAGATCCCGGAAAGGCAACAGCAGAGAATGATGTAATTAAATGATCGTGTGTGTGTGTGTGTGTGTGTGTGTGTGTGTGTGTGTGTGTGTGTAGTTTGGGGTTTTTTTTCCATCAGTTATCAGCTTAGACGCCTTTCCTGACCTCCTAAAGCATCCACTGTATTTGAACCCAATCTTCTCGCATCTTCTCGCCGTATATCTTGGCTTCCCTAAGAGACTACAAACTCATTGAGGACAGGAAGACCAAATTGTGAGCAACCTCGAAGAAGCGACGAGCTTATTTGATTTGCCATTTTATCCTCAGAGCTTGACACAGTGCCCTACCCGGTGGGAAATCTGTCAGTCGTTAATTCAATAAATGTTTATTGTAAGTCTATCCTCTCTATATATGCAAATAAATACAGGACAGGAGGCATCCTGCTGTATTTACTCTGTCAGTTGTGCCTAGCCCAGAGCTACTAACGCATGCCTTAAGGTTCTTATTAGCAAATCCCAAGTCTATGCTGGGTGCTCTGCCACTAGTTTGCTGTGGGACCTCAGACAAGCAGCAATCTCTAAGCTTCCTACAATTTAAAATTAAGTGGTTGTTTTAGTTGACCTTTAAAATCCCTTCCAATCCTAAAATTCTATAATTGTATGATTATAATGTCTGCCCAGCCCAGCTCCCCTGCTACTGTTCAAAAGTTCAGATGAAGATTTACAGTAGGTGAATGGGCTTTGAAAATTACAAAGAACTTCTCAAAATCCAAGCCTTTTTCAAATAGAAAGTTTGCTTCTAAGGGTTGAAATACCTTCAGATTTCTTTGTAGTCTTCACTTGCCTAATAATACTTCCTTATCACCTGGTAACTATTAAATTATTCAATGAATATTTACTGATTGAATAAATGAATGCCGCAACGTGATAGTACAATTTCCAGTTTCTAATTACATTTTTGTTCATTTTGACACTTGCAAAGGTAACCTCACTGAAAACTCTGAATGCTGAGTTTGTGATGGAACCAACTTGAAAGTAACAGAGTGATAATTACTCTTCAATTAATGATACCTCTTTTGATGTTGTCCAAGAGGAATTTCTCTTAAAACAGTTAAACCCAGAGTTCTGTTACAAAACGTTAATTTAAGTTATTGTTCTTATGACCAATCCAAGTAATGTGCAAATGCAAGGAGGGCAGGCTTCTCAGCCATTAAACTGAATATTTAAAAGGACAAAAGAGCATCCTGTTTGTCATTAAAGGAGACTCAGTCTGTTCTCTCAAAAGCACCTTTACTACCCAAGCCTGAATCCTCTGGAGAAAGGAACACTATCTGGCAGACTGTGGTTTCTAGATGGAGGAGAGGAGAGCCAGAGGTCCTCCTTCCTCCCAGAATTACAAATGCTCTTTGTCAAAGCCCAGGGCACTGGTTCTCCTCTCCTCAGCAAGGTTTTCAGAGCTTTGTAGGATCATTTGCTTAATGCCTTCTTTCTATGCCCTGCTAACCTCCTTTCCAGTCTGGATAAGGGAGAATTCCTCCAAGAGAGGAAAACCAGATGAAAAAGTCAGAACCCATATACATTCCCATCCAAATATAGGACTGGAAAAGGCAAAATAGAAGAAGAAATTAGTGGATTCAAATTTTCTGGTCTTAGTCTATTATTGCCCTACCAAAATTTAGATTGTTTAGGTTTCAAAATGAAGTTCTTCCTGAAGAATTGGTACAAGCAGAGCTGATTTTTCCTCCCCAAAGAGTTTATAACTCCCATCTTTTAAAACACACCTATTACAAAGATCCCTTTAAATTGAATGCATTTGCAGGCCACTTGCTGAGAATTCAGAGAGGGCAGGCACTTTTTTAATGCCTGATTTTTGTTGTTCATTTGAGAAAAAGGTTACACAGATGACAATGAAATTGGCTCCAAGTATTCTTGTTGTTTTTATAAATTCATTTTATTTCTCGTGGGTCTGATCCCCATTGAAGTTTGCCAACAAGCAGAAAGGGAAAGTACCAGTAATTCCCTAAACCATCCTCCTTTTCCAGAAAAGTTCAAGAAATAAGCTAATCATGGAGGAAAGTGGGCTAGTCTATTTCAAGGTGTTTTCAATCCAACAACCCGCTAAGAAACCCAATAGGTTTTATAAATATAATGCATTAATAATGGGTCATTTATTAGGAAAACAGTTTATATCAAAGGCCGGTAGAGAGTTAGATCTGTAATCCAATAGGGAGTCTTTTCATTATGTATATGAAAAATTTACCACCACCTAGTCTAAGTTACCATCACTTCCCACCTGGACTAGCACAGCAGCCTCCTGACTGTGCTCCCTACTCTGCAATTGCTCTGCTCCATCCTTTCTCTAGAATAGTCATACCAAAGGGGGGTACGAGTACCCAAATGGTACCACAAGATGATTTATTTGTGTGCAGGAAGAAAATAATAGCCTCGTTAACATTTAATTACTGAAAAACATATATCTGTTATATATACATATAAGAGAGAGAGACAGAAAAGAGAGAGAGCAAATATGAACGTTTTGGAGCCACATGCTGGTTGGTGTGCATGATCAAAAAAGTTCAGATGCCTTGCCCTACAAAACAGCAAAGGTGGTCTTCCAGAAGTATAAAAAGTATCATTCCTTGCCACTGTTCAAAATCCTTCACTGACTTACCATTGCAAACAAAGAAAATCTGCACTCCTTACCGTGACCAATCAGGTCTGCATGAGCTGGGTCCTGTCCCGTCCTCAATCACATTTGGCAGCACGCTCCCTCCTCACTCATATGTTCCAGCCATTCTGGGCAATCCTTTCCTCCGATGTGCCAAGTTGTTTTTCCAATTCATAGCCTTAGTATATGCTGTTCCACCTGCCTGGAATGCCCACGGCCATCCCCACCTCACATGGCTGACTCACATGGCATGACTTCTTTGAGACCTTCTCTTTAAATGTACTTCCTTAGAGAGACTTTCCCTGACTCCCTACCTAAGAAGAAATTCCTTTCATATTTTCTGTGCCAGCCCCATATTAGTTTTTTCTTAGCATATATTATAGCCTTCAGTTATTTTATCCGAATATTTTTTGTTGATATTCCTCAAAAACCATGTGCATAAAACCTGTCTCCCTTTGCCTCCTTCAGTGCCTGGCTCAATGTAAGTGCTCAATAAATAACGATTGGCTGGCTGCACAGCACTTGTGTAGCAGCATTACCTGCACAACTTCTAGTAGTTAACACTTTGTAAATCAGTTGTTACATGTGCCAGAAACCATGTTAAGGATTTAACATGTACCAGCTCATTCATTTTTTTACAAAATTTATCTCAACTAAGTACTATCATTGTCCTCTCTTTACAGACCACGTTAAACAGCTACCCAGAGTCACACGGCAATTTAGTGCAAGAGGCGAGGCTTTAACCCACGCATCTTATTTCTAATATGTTCTTGACTTTATGCAATACTGTTTCTACTCCAAATCCAACTAATAACAGATAATATTCATTGACAATTTACTATGTGCCAGGCACTCTAATTAGCACTTTGAATCATTTTTAGTAATGTTGAGTAAGCAATTTTGGACAAGTGAGCAAGATTGTCTGGGCTGAGGGGAAAATCTGTATTCTCCAACTTATATTTGCTTGTATTGGTGAGGGCGGGGGGGTAATGTTAAAGAGAGTGGTGTATTCATTACTCACATAACCTCACTGCATGAAATACAGTAGCTGTCACATTGATTTTCTTCTTCCTTTTTTCCTAGCTCTCTCCATATCTGATGGATACCTTGGCTTCGGCTGCACTGAATCACATTATGTGTCTCATCATTAGAACAATGTCTTTTAATAGCTCTCAAAATACTTGGCTCCCCTTGGATACCATTGAGACAAGGTGTCTTGCCTTTCAGATCAATTTCATGAAGCACCACAGAAAGAAAACTGGGGAGAATAATATGCAGACTCTTCTCATTGCCTGCCAAGAAGATGATGAGATTTTTTTAAAGCTGCCCTTTAAAATACTTTCAGATATCAGCAAATACTGGCCTAGGTATGAATCCAGTAATTGTGTGTCTTCTCATACGCCCAGTCTAAGTGGCTTTAACAGAAGGGCTTAAGCCCTCTTATCTGTAAAAATAGGTCTAAGATTATCTACCTGACTCGTAAGGATGTTGTAAAAGTTAATTCAACCTCATATACCTGTTGGAGATAACAACACTGTGTTGTATTTATGTAATTTGGATCTCATCAACAGTTTTAGACCTCTAAACAGTTTTTGGGTTTTTTTCCCCTAGTTTAATAAATCTTGCAGCAGCTCCAAAAGATAGGTAGGGGGCAGTTTTTGCCTGCATCTTACAGAATAAAAGAAAATTTATCCAAGGTCATAGAGTTAGAGAAAAAAACTTAGAACTGAATTTTGTTATCCCTTTTCCTTCCATCTAGTCCAAATCCACCCTC